ATTATAAATAAATTATGGAAGTTATAGGGAGTTGTAGGACATAATAATGTTTCTAAAGTTTATAATAAATGGAGTTATGGGGAACATTTAAGTTCATAATTAATGGGGTTGCAATTATAATTTGTAGTTACAATTTTTGTAGATTCCTATGTATTTCAAGTTAATGCAAGATTATATCTTTGTTTGTTTAGAAACAAATTTTTATTTATTGTTATTTTCTTTAGTATTACCTGTGAAATTTTGGGAATGTGTTTTTACAGAATTGAAAAGCCATGTAACTAAGGGGTAAAATTTATGACAACGTTTTACATATTATTTTCTTAGTAACTTCTATATTTTTGTAAGACAAGATTAAAATATACTGTTATTCAACATTGTGAAAAATCATGCAACATAGAGTTAAATATTCATTCAAACTAAATGTGACAATAATTATTGCAGTTTAAGTAATTTATCTTTAAATTTGAAAATTAATTTAATATCAAAAATTAATTTTGCAGTAACGACATTGTACGACTTACAGTATGGAAGTTAAGAATAATTATATTAACATTAAATAATATTTAGGACTATTCATTAATAAAATATAAATAATGTTAAACAACAAAAATTTGTTTAAAAATAATAAATATTTTTATAATTACAAATTGATTATACCATGTACCAATTTTTGAATAGCCATTTTCGTTTCATCTACTACTGCCGCCATCTGATGAGAACCAACTTTACTATCGTGAATGAACCAAGGAATAGACAAGCGTGGTAAATTTGAATTATTCTGGTATCAAGTTTTTGCATTTCTACAGATACTATCGCGAAGGTCAAAATTTGAATAATCGATTCCTCGTGTCACGGTGTGCTTTGGAATTTTAACAGACTTCAACGTTGTGGTCAAAAGAGTTGTTATAGTTCACTTAGGTACCTGTTCAATAAAATTTAACAAAGCTACTTCAATCTCAGAATTGAATAATTTTGAGGTATAGAAATATCCAAGTTCCAAAATTCCAAAATTCCACAATTTCCTAATTCCTCAATTTCCCAATTCCACAATTTCCTAATTCCATAATTCCCCAATTCTACAATTTCCCAATTCCACAGTTTCCCAATTCCACAGTTCCCCAATTCCACAATTAACCAATTCCACAATTCTCTATTCCACAGTTCCCCAATTCCACAATTAACCAATTCCACAATTTCCTATTCCACAATTTTCCACTTCCACAATTTTCCACTTCCACAGTTCCCCAATTCCACAATTCCCCAATTCCATAATTTCCTAATTCCACAATTCCCCAATTCCACAATTTCCTAATTCCACAATTCCCCTATTCCACAATTTCCCAATTCCACAGTTCCCCAATTTCACAATTCTCCAATTCCCCAATTCCCCAATTCCACAATTCCCCAATTCCACAATTCCCCAATTCCACAATTCTCCAATTCCACAATTCCCTATTCCAAAATCCCAAAATCCCAAAAATCCAAAATCCCAAAATCCCAAAATCCCAATATCCCAAAATCCAAAATCCCAAAAATCCAATATCCCAAAAATCCAAAATCCCAAAATTCCAAAATCAAGAGCATCAAACTTTCAAAATCTCAGTATACCAAAACTTTCAACCCTCGAACGTAAAACGTTCCAAGGCTTAAAATATCTGCAGACATTTTGAACAGCTCGATACTTCCGCGCAGATTAATGAAATGGAAATTGGAAGTGGTTGTATCTGAAGCAACATGCAACCCCCTTTGGCAGAAGACGCATGGTAGACAGTCATGGAGAAGTTTTAGTTCTATTGATTGACCCGAATCCACAGGAAGAGTCATGTATACCCTAGAAATTCGTATTTTCTGCTATCATCGCACGCGATCTGTAATTATTGAGCAATTCTTGGCAGTCACGAAGACTCCTACGAATAACAAAGTGCCAGAAGTTGCATTTCAGTTTGTAGGTCATGAAACCAGAAGGAGGAACGGTTCCTATAAGTTTCAGGAAGTCCTTTTATTATTCCTCGAACCTTTCTCGTATAATCGTGGCGATTTGAACTTTTCTGGGTGACGTTTATCGTGTTAGCGAGACACCTATGTCCTAGTGATCTTGTTTTCGTTATTTATTGGTGGAAATGTATGTAGAGATTTATTTTCAGGGGTTGGGAATTGAGAGTTTAGGAATTTGGAGATTTAAGAATTTGAAGAATTCAGAATTTCCTCCATTCTTCATTTTGAAATTTTTTTAAATATATTTACTTGTATTTTTTTCGCTTACAATATTATATTTATTTCGCGCTAAATTTTGTATACGTAGATTTCAGGATATAATTAAAAAATATCAATAAATATGTTATGTTTTGTGAAATAGTTATGGCACGTTCCTGATATAGGAACCGTGATTAATCATTCGAATTCTTGAAATGCATTTTGTAAATGAATTATCTGGAACTAATACAAAATATCTTAAAGTGTGTTGCTTTATCAGTAAAGATATTCGTAATCCATAAAAATTGTTGGTTTTGAAGAAAACTGTTTTACGAATCATTTAAGTTTTGTTGGTTCTAAATTGAACCCTGTGAGTCCCAATTTGATTCTCAGACCTCAGATGGCGCGCACATCTCATGTTCTGCAAATGGAGGATCAAATATGGTACCCTAATCAAATTTTTCTTGTATACAAACTCAAGAAATTTTTATACTATTATTTATTTTGAACCTGACAAATTTCTTGGACCAAAAATTTTTTACACAATTTATAAAAAATACAATTATCTTAAATCTATAATTTTAAATTTTAGAAGTGAATTTTTTGGAACTTACAAGAATCAAATTTTCTTTCTAAATTAAAATCAATATTGTCTACTTATTAGTTTGAATCAAATCCAACAACTTTTGATTTTTACTATTTCTTTTTTAAATTCGATCTTAAAATATTTTCCCTTTTTATGCATATTTTTAAATTTTTTTTATTGTAGAATTGACAGTAGAATTTTAACTTCTAGAATGTTATTGTACCTTAACTTATGAAATGCTATTATTTTATATATTTTCGAAAAGTATTTTAGAAATAATTTCGAGAGGAAGCAAAATAAGGTGTCGTCACAAATAGTACTGTTATGAAACCATTTTATTGACATTTTTTATCTTAAATACTCGACGTGGAACTTTTTAACGATATTCCTATTACTGTTTCGGTGTTAAATGTATTTACAAAATATGTCGATTTCTAAATTTGTGCGAATCTTAAACAATTTACTTCGCAAAGATGTTCGCTCGATTTCGTTAATCGGACAATGTTACCTTATATAAGTACACACTCGCAAATTGGTAATCGAAAATTACTGTTGTACTTCGCTTTCAGAACAAACTTATCGAAACGTTAAATTCATTGTCAACGTAAAGATGCAGATAATAGATTGTCTTATTAACACGTTGGCTGCCATTGGGGTCATTAATGGCCTGAATCGTAATGCAGCTAAATAATCAAAAAAAAAGAACAACAAATAAAAAACTTTCAATGTCATTACTGTTATTAAGATAATAATAACAGTAATTTAATTTGTAAATTGAAAATTTCAATTTGCAAATTACCCCATTTTTATTTAAATGTAAATGCAGATCAGATGTAAATTAATAAATAAGGAGTCTAACATTCTAAGTAAACACTTCAACCATAGACAAAAAAATTTCATAATAGGTTGATAAAATCAAAGATAATCTTAGAACTCCATTCAGATGATTAAATTATAAATGTACCAAAAATGTTCCTACTTAATGTTAGTCCTGAAACCATAACTACGTTGTAACTATACCAGATCCCAGAAATTTTTCTCCAAAAATACAAGTTAACAAGTTTTTAAATAAACTAACAAGTACATTTAATTCATAAATTTCTGGAAAAATTCTGTGTAGTCCACCATTTTGTTCACGACACAAAATGGCCACCAGTTACAGTTACATAATTGTTTCAATTTTGCTACAAACATCCATTTTAGCAGTCAACGTGTTAACTTTCCAAACACATAATTAGTCATATCTTTTTTAATTTGTACGAAATACAAAATCGTTTAATTCTTAACAATACACGTTTTACTGGAAATAATTCGTGTCGTATTATCAAATCAATAAACATCGTGGACGTAGGAATAAGAAAGTATCTGACATTTCGTTTGCACGATGTAAATCAATGGCGGGAAAAGTGGGGTTATCACTATGGTAACTTGTGTCCTTGATACGTCACTTTCAGAGATAATTTATAGGCCTCTTTTTGTGCTATGCTTTAATTATTGTGTATTCGGTTCGATTTTTATTTTGTTTGATTTATTTAGACTCTTTTGGTAGCGAGAGATGGATATTGCCGCTAGGTATATTGCCGGTTGGGTGAGTTAAGGGCTTAATGGGGGATTTGGAGATTTGGGGGTTTAGGGGTTTAGGGGTTTAGGAATTTGGGGATTTAGGGATTTGGAGATTTAGTAATTTGGAAAATATGGAATTGGAAATTTAGGAATTTGGGAAATTTGGAATTTGGGGATTTGGTAATTTGGGAAATTTGGAATTTGGGGATTTGGTAATTTGGGGATTTGGTAATTTGATAAATTTGAAATCAGAAATTTAGGAATTTGGGAAATTTGGAATTGGAAATTTTGGAATTTGGAGATTTGGTAATTTGGGAAATTTGGAATTGGAAATTTTGGAATTTGGAGATTTGGTAATTTGGGAAATTTGGAATTGGAAATTTTGGAATTTGGAGATTTGGTAATTTGGGAAATTTGGAATTGGAAATTTTGGAATTTGGAGATTTGGTAATTTGAGAAATTTGGAATTTGGGAAATTTAGAATTTGAGAAACTTGGAATTTGGGAAATTTGGAATTTGGGAAATTTAGAATTTGGGAAATTTGGAATTTGGGAAATACGGAAATCTAGGAATGTGGGAATCTAAAATTTGGGAAATCTAAAAATTTGTAAATCCACAAATATTACTAAAAATTCCGAAACATAAAAATTTTCAAATTCATCCACACAAACTAAAAAATTCAAAACCACCGACCTACACAAATTACAAAACCAAAACTCTCTAAATACTCAAACGTCAAATTCGCAAACAGAACAATCGTGTCCCCAAGTGCACCCCACTCTCGTCTCCCTATATCCACGACACAGATACAACAGTACACCACCTCCTCGATCGACCAAAACGAACATCATCTCAAAATCCTCCCCTCGAAAATTGTCTAACGATGGCGAGTCAGAAACATACTCCGTTTCGACGCAGCAACCAAATTTCCCTGCAAGATTAGGAAGAGCTTTCAAACGATGACACCCTGTTGAGCCAACAGCTGTTTCCTTTGATGAAGACTGGGTGACTCGCCATCGATCTCGATGGTTTTAACACCGTCGAAGGACTTGGACGTTTTTAAATTATTCAGAGCTTTGAGACAGTTGTTGGTGGTCATCTCCAAGGACTTGGAGCTCTTGAGGGAGGCGTTCGCTAGCTTCTTGATGGTCTCCGAGATGGGGCACTTGATGAAGTCGCTTTTCTCTTTCGCGTCCTTCGAGTCCTCTTCTTCTTTCTTCTCTTCGAGTTTCTCTTTGGAAGCTTCGAGTTTCGATCTGAGCAGGTCCTGTGATTCCTTGGGACCTTTATTCACCTCGACGTTATTGTTGCTCTCGTCGTCCTCTTTACGGTCGTCGGGACCCATCAGGGACTTCGGCGGAGCCTCCACGTATCCGCTCTCGTCGCTGTCCACCTCCTCGTCCAAGGAATCCAACGTCAAAAAAGGAGATTCGTCGTTTTGCAGCAGTTCCTCGCTCATTCTGCCTGGGTACTTCTCCATGGTCCGTCTCTCTCGTTCTTGAGGGTCCTCCAGCCTGCGCAATATCTCGCCTCTCGGTCGGTAATCCACCACGTCGTCGAAGTCCTCGACGTCCTCGAAATCGAACACGTGGGTGGCTGTCTCCTCTATCTCCTCGTCTTCTTCTTCCATCGATTCGTCCTCCTCGTTTCGGGAGGGAAACCTCTTCCGACCGATGACCACGTTGCGACGGTGAAAACGGGGACTTCCGGCGCAGGTCATGAAGTTCGGTGAACCCTCGGAGTTTCTTCGGGGACCCGCACCTCTTACGATGCTCTCGTCGCTGAACATCACTCTTCGATCCGTTCGTTGCTCCCTTCCGTCACCTTTAAGTGCAAAATGGTGTTCAAAATTTAGCATTTTAGTTGTCAGACTAGGTAGACTAGATAGACTAGGTCGCTTATACAGTTCAGGGATTGAAATTTGAAGGGGCTGTTTAGATATTTATTTATTCACGGTTACACAAAGCTGGAAGACTTTAAAAGGCTGGTTGAAAGGTAGAAGTTCCTAGGGGAATCTAGGTGATCGTAGGAGAGTTTAAGAGCTTCCTAGGGAAAACTGAGGAGTTCCTAAGAGATACCATGGAAATTCTATGCAAACTTTTAAGTAGTCACTAGGTGATCCTATAGAAGTTCAAGGGAACACACAGCGTTCTTATACAGATCAGAAAATTTCCTAGGGTGCAACCCACCTAGGAGTTCCTAGATAAACCAAAAATTTACTAAGAAAAACTGAGCAGTACTTCTGTAAACCTAGAGAGCTTCTCTAATTCCAATTTTCCCAAATTCTAAATTTCCCAAATTCCAAATTTCCCAAATTACCAAACCCCAAATTCCAAAATTTCCAATTCCAAAAGGCGTAATAGTGTTTCTAAGGGAATTTTGAAAACCTAAGTGACTACAGTGACTACCTAAGTGACCTAAGGTAAACCTAAAACCTAAGTGACAACATCACATTGGTAATTTATCAATTGCCAGTAATAGTAACTCTATAACAACCTGTAGCGTGATGATCCTCCGGACCAGGAGCTCTCTCCTCGCTAGTCGCAGTGCTGGCAGTCTCACAACCACTCGATATACTGCCATTTTCGTCGGAGGACTCTCGATTCAAGGCATCAAGCAGACGAGCAAGTCTCCAGCTGTCTTGGTCCTGCCAGCTACGCGCCACATTTTCCAAGGTTCTCAGCTCTTCGAGGATTCGTTGCTGCTCTATCTCCTCGGCAACTATGTCCTCCTCGATCGCTGATAATTTTGGCGCGCTTTTTGACCTCTCTAGCGGAGGTCGGTAGTTCTGGCCTCCGGTGCTGAGGAGCAACTTCCGTCGTGGTAACGATGGGTTCTCGTACAGAGCACTTGCTAGGGATAATCTGAGAAGAACAGAAAGAATAGATTTAAGATATCAAGATTGATTGATTGATTTTATAAGGGCCTCGACTGCTATGATCATTGGGCAAAGATATCAAGAGGATTTGTGAACAATGGTCTGATTATATTTAGACTGAAATTATATCTTTTACTGCTATTTATTTTTTGGTGTATTTAGTATATTTAGTATATTTAGTTTATCTGGTGATTTTAGAGATAATACACCTCTGATACAGTCTCTGATGTAATACAATACTAATCATAATATATCTGGGGTCTAAGATAATGGGACTCTTGTGGATTCATTTATGGGTCAGGTCATTTTTGTGGAGTGTCTATGGATAAGTTTATGTCTGTAGTGTTTGTGGATAAGTTTATTTTTATGGAGTGCATCTAGGTTGATTCATTCTTATGCTGAGTTTGTAGATCAATTAAATTCAATGTGACATTGTGGGTCACTTCTTGTGAAATGTTGTGGGTCAGTTAACCTTTGTAGAACATTGTGGGTCAGTTCATTCTTGTGGAACATTGTGGATCAGTTCATGTTTGAGGAGTGTTTGTGGATAAGTTCATGTCTCTGGAATGTTTGTGGATAACTTTATATTTGTGGAGTGTTTATAGGTTCATTTTGTGTGAGGATGTAGATTAGTACATTTTTATGAGACATTTTTAGAATAACTTATTTTGTAGGACATGTAAGATATAATTAATATTAGCAGGATATTTGTGGACTGATCTATTTGCACATTTATTATGTTGTTTATAGAACATGTTCATCTTATATTCATAAGATTATTTAATTTTAATGAGACGTCAGTCCCACAAGATATTCGTGAGACATTTCCCCATTTGTCACCGTACCTCGACAATGACATTTCACGCCAGGCCATTAAATTTCGCGCTATACCGTCAGCCGAATACCCAAACACGGTCTATAGAAAATTATGCTGAATACCGTGGCCGCGAGCGTCGATAAGTACCCGTTATCCGTCGAACATCAGCCGAGCATGCTCGGCATAAATGCACAATGCATTTGAAAAATCTTTCGACCCCAGACGACTTTAGATTCGACCTGAATCATGACTCGATCACGTACATCGTGATTTATGAACGCGACCTAAATTGTTTCATCGTGAAGAGGTCGCGGCCTTACGGCAGTAGGTAGCAGTATTTACTGGCACAGAGAGCAGCAACCGATTTCTCTATTGATCGAATCAATGCAGGAATCTCTGCATCCTCGATTTTCTTACCGCGTGCATGTGACTTTTCTTATTGTAGGAATGATTAAATGCTTCCTGCCTGATCGACGTTCGCGGTAATTTATATACCTAGTGAAAGCTGATTTATCAATTGACGCTAACATGTTGGTGACAATCGATCATGCTACCGGTAGTTTTCTTCTTGGGAGTTAGAGAAATGTACACGGTGGACTTCGAAGTATGGAGATTCCGTAATAGGTGACAGGACAGTTTTGCTTTACTTACTGTAACTTTACATTTAAAAATCAAAAAGTCAGATTTCAAAATTTCAAGATAGATGCAGAAAACCTCTGTTAGAATTCAAATTTCTTGAACAACAAATTGGTGTATTTTTAAATTACGAAATAGTTAGACAAAAAATCTGGGACCACAAATACATGAAGTTTCTAAAACCTGAAATTCCTAGATTTTTAAGTTCATAGACTTTACAATCCCTAGATATCTCAAGTCTCCATCTGAAAAATTCCCTAGATCACCAACTTTCTAAGTCTCAAAATTACCTAGATTTCCAAATTTCCAAGTTCCAAAATTCCCTAGATCCCCAAATTTCCAAGTCCCAAAGTTCCCAAGATCCTCAAATTTCCAAACCCCAAAATTTCTTAGATCCCTAAATTTCAAAGTCCCAAAATTCTCTAGATCCTCAAATTGCCAAATCCCAAAATTCCCTAGATTCCCAAATTTCCAAGTCCCAAGATTCCCAAGTCCCCAAATTCCCAAGTCTCAGAATTCTCAAGTTCCAAAAATCGTAAGTCCCAAAATTGCGAAGTCCCGAAATTTCTAAGTCCTAAAATTCTCAAGTTCCAAAAATCGAAGGTCCCAAAATTGCGAAGTCCCGAAATTCCTAAGTCCCAAAATTCCCAAGTCCCAAGATTCCGAAGACCCAAGATTCCCAAGTCCCAAAATTCCCAAGTCCCAGAATTCCCAAGTCCCAAAATTCGTAAGTCCCAAAAAATTCCCAAGTTCCAAGATTCATAAGTCCCAAAATTCCCAGGTCCCAAAACTCTCAAGTCCAAAAATACTAAACTCCCATAAACTGCAACAGCGATCAGAAGCTCACCGTATAATATCAAAGTGCGATTAAATGGTATAATGAAGGATGGTATAAAATGGGTAATAGAATGTTACCTAGCATTTTGTCTGGAGACCTTGTCCCGTCGGAATTCCAGAAGCGCTTGTTGTAGCCTAGTGTTCAATGTCGAGGCCAGCCTTCTGGCGGTAGATTCCTTGTTGCATAAGGCCGCGTGGCACCTGAGCTCGGGCCTCAACCTGCGTCCCTCGTGACGATATACCCAGACGAATAGGCGCGGGTGGGAAGCTGGTGCCGTGCAATAGGTCACCCTATGGGCCCAGTACTCCGTAAGACCGTGATCCTTCGTCGTGGCGGTCAAACCGCCGTTCGTGACCGTCAACCTCATCGACACGTCCGGTCTGCTGCTGCTAACGTAATTGCGCCATAACGTCGACACTGGTTTCTCTACGCAGCCCTCACCTACGATAATAATCGTTCGTTCTTATAAAACGTGTCTTTCATTTTATATCCATTTTATTATATATCATTTATTATATTTTATTTTTATGTATGTACTCTTCTTATTATTATTGTGTACTTTTCTTAGGGAGATGGGAATTTAGAGAGATGGGAATTTGGGGAGATGGGAATTTAGGGAGATGGGAATTTAGAGAGATGGGAATTTAGGAAGATGGGAATTTGGGGAGATGGGAATTTGGGGAGATGGGAATTTGGGGAGATGGGAATTTAGAGAGATGGGAATTTAGAGAGATGGGAATTTGGGGAGATGGGAATTTAGGGAAATGGGAATTTAGAGAGATAGGAATTTAGGGAGATGGGAATATAGAGAGATGGGAATTTGGAAAGATGGGAATTTGGGGAGATGGGAATTTAGAGAGATGGGAATTTGGAGAGATGGAATTTAGGAAGATGGGAATTTAGGAAGATGGGAACTTAGGAAGATGGGAACTTAGGAAGATGGGAATTTAGGAAGATGGGAATTTAGGGAGATGGAATTTAAGAAGATGGGAATTTAGGAAGATGGAATTAGAATTCATATTTCTGAATCAGGTTTTATTATTGTTTACATATTATTTTATTATTGCATACATGTATTGTTTATGTATTTTACCATTGTATTCATGTATTATTTATTGTGTGCAATCAATATTATTTTGTTGTGTACATATGTCATTTTATTTATACATACATATGTATACACATGTAACAGTAATTCAATTTTGGACAAATAAAAATGAAAATAAATTAATGTTACTCAGCTACACGAATGAATTATCCCTGATCTAATTTTCGTTCTAACAGTGACAGGATCGCGTTATTTGTACCGTTACCAACATTATTTATGCCAGGAATAATTATTGCAGCAACAAGTATGCCATTAACTCGTAACAGCTATTACGTGTTCTAACATAGTGCTTATGCTTTTGTTATACAGCATAACGTTATTATTCAATGTTAGCATTGTACTGTTATTAAGAACGCCATCAGCAAAGTAACAGTAATTGAGAAACAAAAGCTGTCTTGTACGCAAGTTTTACCGTCCGTTTCAGCGTACAATTACACGTAATACAATTGCACGGTACATAATACCTATTACTTATATTACAGCGATGAAAATAAAGTGGTTCCCTTCAGGGTTCAAACTAAGATGCAGTCTATGCTCGGTTAAATATCAACCAACGGGGTTATTTCTATACTTTGGAATTGCTAAATACCAGAAATAACTATAATTTATATCTTGAGCTTCTTCGTTTGAGTGTAGTCACTTTTAGTATCTTTTAGTATGGTAATTAGGAGGGAATAATGATGATTTATTGTGATTTGGTAATGGTATAGTGTAATACCTTTCATTTGTAATTTTATGATGTACTAGGTTTGTATTATGGTTTTAGGTTTTCAAATTTTTAAGTCCTAAACATGGTAGAACATCTTAAGTCCAAAAATTTGCAAGGCCAAAAATTTCTAAGTCCCAAAATTCTCAGGTTCTAAAATTGCCAAGTCCCAAAATTTTCAGGTCCCAAAATTCTCAAATCCCAAAATTTTCAAGTCCCAAATCTCCCAAGTTCCAAGTCTTCCAAGTCCCAAATCTCCCAAGTTTCAAGTCTTCCAAGTCCCAAATCTCCCAAGTTCCAAGTCTTCCAAGTCCCAAATATCCCAAGTCCCAAAATTCCCAAATCCCAAAATTCTCAAGTCCCATATCTCCTAAGTCCCAAAATTCCCAAATTCCCAAATTTTCAAGTCCCAAATCTCCCAAGTCCCAAAATTTCCAAATCCCAAAATTCTCAAGTCCCATATCTTCTAAGTCCCAAATCTCCCAAGTCCCAAATATCTCAAATCCCATATCTCTCAAGTCCCAAATATCCCAAGTCCCATATCTCCCAAGTCCCAAATCTCTCAAATCCCATATCTCTCAAGTCCCAAATCTCCTAAGTCCCAAATATCCCAAGTCCCATATCTCCCAAGTCCAAAATCTCTCAAATCCCATATCTCTCAAGTCCCAAATCTCCCAAGTCCCAAAATTCCCAAGTCCCAAAATTCCTAAGTCCCAAAATTCCCAAGTCCCAAATCTCCTAAGTCCCAAGTCCCAAAACTCCCACGTCCCAAAATTCTTCAAGTCTCAAAATTCTCCAAATTTCAAAATTCCCAAGTCCCAAAATTCCCAAATCAGTCCCAAAATCCCAACTTTTCTCTTTCCTCCTCCAATATTCCCCAAACAATGGCACCTAAACCACCTCCCACAAAAATCCTAACTACATCACTGCTTGCTACCAAAATGGTGGGCGTCGTAAAACCGTCAACCTACGCATTTCCACATCATTCTTTACGTTCAAAACAAAGTTCAATATTCTCTCGCAATAAAACACACATAATCCTCCGTAATAAATCTTCACTAAAAGTTTCTCAAGTTAAATAAAAAAAAAGTCGAGAAATATTTAAATTTGTTGCCATAGGATACACTTTGGCTGGCCATTCTAAGCCCCGTACGCAAGCGGAATACATTGTTGAACGTAAATCGAGGGACAGACACATTCTGACCTTCGATACAGTTCGATTCGCCGTTCTCTGTTCATCGTTGGATCGCGTTACCAATTTAGAGATACAGGAAACGACGGTACAGTTACTTAAAGACTGTTAGAAAGCGATGAAAGGAGAAGAAAGAGAGCTAATCACGAAGAAAAGAAGACAGGGTGTTTTAGATTACGGAGAAACAGGTGAACCTTGGCAACTTGTTTGAACAATGTTACCACGCTATGGATACGTTTGATGTTATATTTTATTTTTAGGTGGGTGAAATAATTGTTAAACATTTGGGTGTTGATAAAAAAAGAAAATTGCAAAATTTAAGTAGGGAAAATATCAAAATCAAGATAGGACAGTTGACAAAATTGGAGCTCTTTTATAGATAATTTAGGGAGGCTAAGATGAAAGAGATATGGAGTTATACTGTATGAGATGTTTGAATTTCGCGCCCTGGAAGGGTCACGTGATGTCCAGGGTCTCCTCCATCGTGGCCACCCAATATTTGCATATCAAACAAAATTTGAGAATTATACATTTGAACATAATTGAAGAACGTGTAATATAAAATACAAATATTGTATTTTCAATTATTTGTAATTAAATTATTGATGTCAATGTAAGCTTGTGAAACATTGTGAAAGAAATATACTGTTGAATATGCAGTATTTGCTGTTCCATATTAAAAATGTAAATACTGTAATACTAGAAGTATTAAACATAAAATTTTGAAATTGAAATTTAGTAGAAATAAAAGAAATATATTAATAGTTCCTCTTATAAGAATAAATTAAGATCCTCTTATAAGAACAGTAACCCTAATGCCACCATTTTACCCCAAATAACAAATTAAATCTCAGTCACATATTTCACCCAACATCATAAAAAATTTAAATTGAAATTAGGAAATAAATTGCATCATAAACCACACAGTAATAATACAAAAAAATTAATAAATAAATGATAATGACTGTAATGACATAATGATTGCAGATGAATGATATAACAATTGCACGACTAACCTTCACAACAAACTCGCTTAATTAATCATTGACACTGAAACTTGTAAACAAAAAATTACTAGACATCTAAGTAATTTGACATGTTTACAAGGAAAATGTTATTCCCTCACTTTTTTAGAGTGAAAACCGATCATGCTTGATGATTATAATTTTTAAATAGATTACTGATTCGTATAAAGCTTATGTGAAGCAGGTAAACAGTAAACTTGTTTACTGTAGGTACAATAATACAAGTTATGTGCGACTGAACATTTGTGAACTTTAAAGTCATTAATTGTGTGTCAGTTGATAATTACATGGATTATCAAATTTCTCAAATTTGCAATTTTCAGTTAGTAAATTTTTTATTCTAAATTTTCCAAATTTCTAAATTTGCAATTGCAAGTTTACCAAATTTCTAAATTTCCAATTCCAAATTTTCCAAATTCCTAAATTTTCAATTCCAAATTTCCCAAATTCCAAAATTTGCAATTCCAAATTTCCCGAATTCCCAAATCCCCAATTCCAAATTTCCCAAATTCCAAAATTTTCAATTCCACATTTCCCGAATTCCCAAATTCTCAATTTCCTAAATTTCCGATTCCAAATTTTCCAAATTCCAAAATTTCCAATACCAAATTTCCCAAATTCCAAAACTTCCAATTCCAAATTTTCCAAATTCCCAAATTTCCAATTCCACATCTCAAATCTTCCAAATCCCAAATTTCCAATTCCAAATTTCCCAAATCTCAAATCTTCCAAATCTCAAATCTTCCAAATCCCAAATTTCCAATTCCAAATTTCCCAAATTCCCAAATCCCCAATTTCCTAAATTTCCAATTCCAAATTTCCCTAATTACCAAATTCCCAAATTCCAAAATTTCCAATTCCAAATTTCCCTAATCCCCAAGTTCCCAAATTACCAAATCCCTAAATTCCCAAATTTCCAATTCCAAATTTCCCTAGTCCCTAAATTCCCAAATTCTCAAATTACCAAATTCCCAAATTACAATACCTCAAAAACCCCTCCACTATCCTCACTATTCCCTACCATCCACTAATCACATCCATAAAATCTCCATCTTACAGAACCCCATAACTCAAACCCAACACCTCGATAATCATCGAACAATCGCTAGTTACAGTTAATTCAATTAAATTCAATGTAATTCGCGAATCTCGTTTCCCACAAGAAAAACACACGAATTCGGTCAGAAATGTAGGGAGATAACGGGGCTGAATTTGAAGATAAGACACGTAATGTTAGAAATCGCGTTATATTATAAAGTATATCCCACTGTTGTAGCAGCAACAGTTGAATACAATCGATAAAAGTGAACCGTGCGAACAATCGTACAAGTTGAAGGCATTAGTCGGCTCGTTCTCACAATCAGATTAGCGGGACGAGCAAAGTTTAGTGTTTGTTTCTTGCGCTTTTTC